TATAGAACGTCCTCAATCAACGTTCATCTGTTTTACTCATGATTAGACTGGGCTATGGGTTTTGGGGAAGAATACCAAAGAGGTGAAGTGGCCTTCTCATCCCATCGTGTCAACCATCACATAGTCAGCAGGACTTTCCAGTGAGGATGTTAACAATTACCTGGCCACGGCAGCATCCAATAGGCTTCTCTATTGTAAAGTTATTTATTTTCCCCCTTCCCATACTCCATTTTTTGGAAGCAAGTCATTATGTGTAGCCCACATTCAAGAAGGCATTGGAGGTGGAATTCATCTTCATTAAGTATTTGAAATTAAGTATTTGAAATCTACATTATTTGAAATTCTTCTGTAAAGAAGCATTGTCTTCTGTCTCCCATCTCCCATTTACTTATTTATTCATTCAGTTGTTTATATCAGTATAGACTCATGGATAACTATTTATTGAGTTATAATCCAATAGTACATGAGTTTGTTCCAGTTTTGTCCACTGGGAGCTCTTTCAGGTTGGCTCCTGGGTCCCGTTGACACACCCCATCCTTCTGCTTTTTGAGTATTTTCTTCCTTGTTGTGGTATACACGACGCTATAGGCTCAGCTTGTATTTTCCCTGCCCCAGCCCTAGAATCAGCAATTTCTGCAAGGAGCCCTGGTTTCTTTTACTAGAGAATGGCATTAGAAACCCAGATCTGGGTACTGGGTGTGTTCATTTTTACTGGGGTGTCACTGCTTTAGGTCCTCTCACAGCAGGCAGAGCTAGAACATATGTATATGTATAACCCATGTATACACACACATCTATAATTATTTCTGCTTCTCTCCATCTGAATCTATATTAAGCTAACTATGAATTCTTAATGACATTTTGGACATATGCATTACTACATGGCTCATTTTAGCCTTCTCTACTTATCTGTAACTTCCCTCTCCAACAATAAACCTGGTTGCCTCCATCAATCGGTTTAATATTAAGGACTAACGTTCTACCTTTTTCTCTACTTCATGTAATTCTATAAATTTATCATATGTAATTTCCACATTTCATTGAAAGAATATATAACCAGGAGCAGAAATAACAAAAATATGAAATACCTTTCAAGTTGTCCAAGTTCTTATCACAACAGTGAAGAAGTGGACACTTTTTTTTTTTTTTTAAACCATTGAGACCACTGGATCCCTTTCGATTACAGGCTCTCAGGAAAGTAAACATCATCAAAAGAGGATAACTATACTTTGTCTTTTCATTTTGCCACAATGTCTTGTTGCAGCAGTTGTTTAGAATAACTATACAATTTATCACCTTCCCCAAGAAGTTTGAGTTATCAAGGCTGGAAGAATTTATGTTAAAGAGGAAGAAGAATTTGTGGGAAATCCTTCCGTTTTTACAATCATTAGGGCCATGGATTTCTTGACAGTGGCCAATGAAGGACAGAATTATATTTGATTAATTAATTCATTTAAATCTGTCGATGTTTTAAAAAAAGTTTAAAATAAAAATCTATTGAAATTCCAGATCTGGCTATAAGCTTCTGTCTTTGAAAAGCTGTCACATTTGGAACGATAGAAGTATTATTGCCATAATATCATTATTAATAAAAATATTGTTACCTCTAAGACCCAGCGGACTGGTCAACACTGATATACCATGGGCGCCTGGCTGGCAATAAACAATTAAGACATCATATTCGGAAATGCTTGATGCATATTACTTCAATGCTTTGGTGTTACTCTCAGGCCTCTGAGCCCAAGCCAAGCCATCGCATCCCCTGTGACTTGCACATATATGCCCAGATGGCCTGAAATAACTGAAAAATCACAAAAGAAGTGAAAATGCCCTGCCCCACCTTAACCGATGACATTCCACCACAAAAGAAGTGAAAATGGCCGGTCCTTGCCTTAAGCGATGACATTATCTTGTGAAATCCCCTTTCCTGGCTCATACTGGCTCAAAAAGCTCCCCCACTGAGCACCTTGTGACCCCCACTCCTGCCTGCTAGAGAACAACCCCCCTTTGACTGTCATTTTCCTTTACCTACCCAAATTCTATAAAACGGCCCCACCCTTACCTACCTTCGCTGACTCTTTCCGGGACTCAGCCCGCCTGCACCCAGGTGATTAAAAAGCTTTACTGCTCACACAAAGCCTGTATGGTGGTCACTTCACACGGACGCGCATGACAGTTATGATCTTCTCAAGGGATTTAAAAAATACATGTGAAACCAGGCCAGGTACTGGGATTTTTAGTTTTCAGTATTTTTGGAGATGAGGCCTCGCTCTGTCACCCAGGCTGGAGTGCAGTGGCACAATCTCGGCTCACTGCAACCTCTGCCTCCTGGGTTCAACTGATTCTCCCACCTCAGCCTCTCAAGTAGCTGGCATTACAGGCACGTACCACATACCTGGCTACTTTTTGTATTTTTAGTAGAGACGGTTTCACCATGTAGGCCAGGCTGATCTCGAATTCCTGGCCACGAGCGATCTGCCTGCCTCAAGCCTCCCAAAGTGTTGGGATTACAGGCGTGAGCCACTGCATCTGGCGAGATTTTTAGTTTTACTTTACATTATTTCACATGCTTTAGAGCTAAAGTTTTCTATGGCATTACTACACGTACACAATCCAATTAATGTTTTAAAATAGTGGCAAGTAGGAATTAGGTATTGTCAATTACTCCTCCTTTCAATACTGTGCCTTTTGGTAACGTTTTCCAGTGTTTAACAGGAAAACCACTGCAAGCAGGAAATAAGACAAAATTAGCTTATCGGTTCCAGCAACTATTTTTAATAATTTTCACCTGGCACAATTCACTTATTCAAGAGTAATTACTTTTCTTTTTTTTTGAGATGAAGTCTTGCTCTTTCACCCAGGCTGGAGTGCAGTGGTGTGATCTCAGCTCACTGCAACCTCCGCCTCCCAGGTTCAAGTGATTCTCTACTTAGCCTCCTGAGTAGCTGGGATTACAGGCGCCCGCCACCACACCCAGCTAATTTTTTGTATTTTTAGTAGAGACCAGGGTTTCACCATGTTGGCCATGCTGGTCTCGAACTGCTGACCTCAGGCGATTCACCTGCCTCAGCCTCCCAAAATGCTGGGATTACAGGCGTGAGCCACCGCGCCCGGCCCTCAAGAGTAATTACTTGAATAGGAAGTACTAGGTTTAGTATTGTGGGAGATTCAATGCCAGGAACAAGGCTACACTAACAGTCAATATTAAATAAAAGAGTTGTTTTTCTATGGATTATAATGATTTTCTGTGAAGACTCTTTCGTGGCCAGGCGTGGTGGCTCACGCCTGTAATCCCAACACTTTGGAAGGCCAAAGCAGGTGGATCACTGGAGGTTAGGCGTTTGAGACCAGCCTGGGCAACATAGTGAAATCCCGTCTCTACTAAAAATACAAAAATTAGCTGGGTGTGGTGGTGCACAGCAGTAAGTCCAGCTACTTGGGTGGCTGAGGCATGAGAATCGCTTGAACCCGGGGAGATGGAGGTAGCAGTGAGCTGAAATCACGCCACTGCACTCCAGTCTGGGCAACAGAGCGAGACTGTGTTTCAGAGGAGAGAAAAGAAAAAAAAAAAAAAACTTTAGTTTGCATTAAAGAAACCAATCTTAGTAGCCTGAATTTACCAGAGGTGACCAAAATTATTTAAAACACATAGATACGACAAGAATGTGGGGTCTGGAGTCAAACTGAGTTCAAATCCCTGGTTTACCTCCTAATAAACATGACAAGTTAATGGACCTCCCTAAGCCTCAATTTCCTCTTCTGTAAAATGCAGATAATACCTATGAGCATTAGTTTTGAGGCACAAGTGCTCAATTAATATCAACTTGTAATATAACAAACTGGAATAGACGTTAGTGGTTAATACTTTCTCATTTGTCAGCCTCTATTTCACATCACTGCTGTATGTGGATTACACACTGCCCCCAGACTGAACCACATACAGTGCTCTCAATACTGGAAGATATTTTACACTTCTTAGAAATACTCTTCCCTTCCTGGACTACTTAGCAAACTCCTACCCTCAAGATTCGGCCCACACACCTCTCATTTATTTGGTCACTTACTCATCATCCAACATTTTTTTTTTTTTTTTAACACTCGCTGTAAATGGCATCCTCGTTCTGGAAACACATCTACCAGCAATTAAAACACGCAGAATTAGCACTGCTTAGGAGAACACCTACTGAATATGCATCTTAGATCATCTTCCTTTTTAGAATACTGATCCCACCTGCTACACGCCTGGTGAAACTCCAGTTACTTGCCAGTAAGATATTGTCCCCCAAATGTACTTATCCTGTTTTCCTGCATAGTTTCTAGGCCCATTACTAAGGATAAGTCAGATATCCAGCTGAGATATAACTATTTTTTCTGAAAACAATGTGAGCTATGGACAAGTACGCTGTGATTAAAGGGAGAAAAGTTGTTAACGACTCCCAAAATTTCCTTTCCTTATGAAATTTACATATGTAACAGGCAGTTAAAATAAAACTACCAGACTTAATGCATACTGAACAGAAATCTTGTTTCAAAGAAAAGATATGAAATATGGAGGCACTTTCACCACACAAATATCCCATTACATATGCTAACTGCAATATTTATGTTCAAAACTCTAAGAACGTGTCTGATACTCTTTGAAGGGAATTCCTGAAAATGAACTTCTGTGCAAACCTGAAGCTTCAATGCATGTGTTTTAAAAAGGAATGTTTACTGAATTTAAACAAAAGGGAAATTGGCAATATGGACACGTGATCACCTCACAACTCTCTGACAGTAATCTCTGCACTGCCATTCTTTAAACATCATTAAAAGGTATTGCGAATAGTTTAAGTATTAAAAATACCTAATGTAAGAATGATTCTATGTTTGAACACACATTTATGTTCAAACATTCATATGAGTAAAAATGCTTAAAACCACCCCTTGGGTAACTAACAACATAAACTTGCGATTGCAAATTTTATGGCTCTTACTACAGAACAAAAATTAGAATGAAAAGACCACTTATCTTTAGAGGACAAGCATGAGCTTGTCTTCTAACAGCACAATAACAAACGTATTTATTCCTCCGTGCTTTCAAAGACATCAACACAAGGGAATCACTAAAAGTGTAGGGGAAAAGAAACCACTAGGCTGGAGCTTTGGTGTCTACGCAGATCCTTCTGGAAAGGCGCTTAGGGAGAGTCTAGGGAGCAGCTCTGACGTCAGCGGCAGCCATCGGAAGTCAGGTCTGTTCTACCAAAGCAGCGACGCACGCCCGGCAGCACCCGCGGCGCAGGAGGGCGCCATCCCCAGCCCCGCGGGTCCGAATCGCACGCGGCCGGGGCCGCTCTCCCGTGAGGAGAGCCCGGCGTGGACCGGCGTGACGGCCACAGCGTGCTGCGGCCTCTCCCCGGGGGCTCCTCCACAAGGACCCCTGCGGGGGCCGGGCTCGGCCGTTGCCGCTCGGGACAGCCATCCCCTCGAATTCGCGCTCGCAGTCCCTGCCTTCACGCCCCGGGTTGGGAAGCGGGCGACGGCGCGCGAGATAAAGGAACTCGCATTCCCCGGCGCCGAGGCGGCAGCAGCGCGGTGCACAGCGGCTTCTGAGCGCGGCGTCGACGGGGAGCTGCGTGCGGCTCCCTGTTTCCTGGTTACGTGCGCGCCGGCAGAGCCAAAACCTGCGGCCGAAACTCCCGCTTCTCCGGAAGGATTAAAGGGCGGGCGCGCTACCAGGAGACGTGTCAAACTCAGCGCGCCTCATGGCGGCCGCGGCACCCCTCCCGCCCGGGCTCCCGTCCGTCCCCGCCCACTGACTTACCCTGCGCACGCGCGCTGAGGCTCCGTGCGGCGGCCGCGGGCCCCGCCCCGAGGTGGGAGGGCCTGGCGCATCCGCAGCTGGCCAATCGGCGGATGGCCTCGCGCGCCCGCCCCCGCCCCATCCTGCCCCCGGCGCCGGGCTCCACGTGCCAGTGTTTGTGTACGTGCGGCCTCCGCGGGGCTGGACCGGGTCCAGGTGGTTGGGGATTAGACTGCTCGGGCGCAACCGGAGCTGGGGCGCGGCTGCCAAGGGCCGGCCCGCAAGTCCCAGTGGTCTTTAAATTCTCCCGTGCTGGGGCCGGCGCCGGTGCGCACTCTTACCTGCCGCGGTGCGGCGAGCGTCCCACCGCTCTGCGCTTCCAAGGACTCTTGTCATCTGCCTTAGGCGGGAAATGCTGTTGCTGGATTGCAACCCCGAGGTGAGCTTTCGTCCTGCAGGCTCAAGTTTCCAGACGCGTTTTCTCGGGAACGCGGGGACTGACCACTGGGCGCTGCCTGGTCTCGCCTGGTCAGAGGTTGCGAAGGGCGAGGAGATTTCCAGCCTGGAGGGGCGCGGGACTGGACAAAGGTGAGAGAGGTGCTGGATCTGTTCTCTTCCCGCAGGTGGATGGTCTGAAGCATTTGCTGGAGACAGGAGCCTCGGTCAACGCACCCCCGGATCCCTGCGAGCAGTCGCCTGTCCACTTAGCCGCAGGAAGCGGCCTTGCTTGCTTTCTTCTCTGGCAGCTGCAAACGGGCGCTGACCTCAACCAACAGGTAACTAGGTAACTGATTGTTGCTGTGCACAGCCCTCCCCTCCAGCCCAGATCCAAACAAACATTTCTCAGACGCCGAGAGTTGCTTCAGCTCTATAGCAGCGATGTCCAACAGAAATAGAATGCAAGACACAGATGTAATTTAAAATTTTTTTCCAGTCTTGATGTGAGGACATGAGAAATTTCAAGTTTTTAAGTAGCCACATTAATAAACATGGAATTTTAGTATTTGACCCAATTTGTCCAAATTATCATCAGTTCAATATGTAATCAACATAAAGCAATTGCTGATTAGATGTTTTACATTTTCTTTTACTCTGTGTCTTCACAATCCGGTGTGACAGCATATCTCCAATCAGACTAGCCACATTTCAGATACTCTAGCCTTAAGTAGCTATTGACTCATATTGAACAGCACAGATCTAGTTTATTTCAAAAGAAGTAATTGCTACATTACTAAGTCTCCCGGTAGCAATTCAAATACTTGTGAGCTATGTCCACAAGCATTTTAATTTCCTAAAGAATTTTCTTAATGTAGTTTTCATCTTCCGTTGAATATTGAAACATGGTGAATTTTAAATTGTAAACTCTTCTGGGAGAACTCTTTTTATTTGCTTACATTTTAATGTATATGGATATGGCTACACGTTTTTGTTTATTTTGAGACGGAGTTTTGCTCTTGTCACCCAGGCTGGAGTGCAATGGCACAATCTCGGCTCACTGCAATCTCTGCCTCCTGGGTTCAAGAACTTCTCCTGCTTCAGCCTCTGTAGTAGCTGGGATTACAGGCACACGCCACCATGCCTGGCTAATTTTTGTATTTTATTAGAGACGGGGTTTCACCATGTTGGCCAGGCTGGTCTTGAACTCCTGACCTTAGGTAATCCGCCTGCCTCCCAAAGTGCTGGGATTACAGGAGTGAGCCACCACGCCCAGCCACACGTTTTTACTAATGAAAACGGTATGAAAAAGCAAACTAACTTATCAAAAATAAGCTTTTACAGCTTACCGAGGGAAAAAAAATGAAAAGCTTGAAGTAAAAAATTCAGTCCAAAGGAGGAGATTTTCAGAAGGTTCCATACTGAAATGAATATGCAAGTATAGTACATTCCTATGTTTCAAATTAGCCCAGGGAGTTGGCTATCCCTAATGTAATCACTAAAAGTATCTAGAAGATCTAAATAAAGGAATGAATGATAATCATTTCAGAGCATATGCTAGAATGGTGAAGTTATAATAATCCACTAGTTATTTAAATTAATTCTGCATTCCTGAAATCTTGCACTTGTAAACAATTATCAATAGTGTTTTTAATTAGAATAGATGTTGATGCACATTTATATGTATCAAAAACACATTACTTCTTAATCTTAAAGTGACTTAAGACTTCTCATTTCTGAAAACAAACCCAAAACCTGAACTGAGAATGAATATTAACAAAATAAACCCACGAAAAGTGTTTGTGTTCTCTGCCAAAAAAAAAAAAAAAAGATTCCATCCAGTACAATGCAATTCTAACTAGCTTCCTTAAATAGCTAATATTAGATGTCACTCACCATCTTCCACAAAAAGTATTTTTGGGAGACTCTAAAATGTACTGTCTTACCTTAAGGATGTTTTAGGAGAAGCTCCACTACACAAGGCAGCAAAAGTTGGAAGCCTGGAGTGCCTTAGCCTGCTTGTAGCCAGTGATGCCCAAATTGAGTGAGTATGAAAACAGTGGCTTCACATTTCATGTTTCCTTGGATTAAACTAATCAGACTCCTAAACCTTAGTTACATGTGCTTTTAAAAATAATGCTTGCCTAATTGATAATTTAGTGTTAATCATTTAAATGTTAACTTAGGTTGTTGGTGCTGTCTAATAATACTCTGTTCGAGTCAGTAAAAAGTCAGATCCTGAGCAATCAGAGGTGCAATTTTGTTCATTATGACTGTATTTCTACTTCAGTTTCAGTTTAGGAAAACCTATTCTGTAGTCCTCATTGACTACCTTTGGGTACTCATACACTGTATTAAACATCAAATAATTCTTACATTCATTCAGAACTGGAATGTCCACTCTATGCTGGATTCTGTTAGTTGCTGAGGATACAATAGTGACCAAACATGCGATTTCCCTACGCATCCTTTACCTCTTCTGTTCTGCAGTCAACATTTGTATGAGCCCAAAATTCCCTTGTAAGATATTTAAAAAAAGACTTAAGTTCAATTTTTCATTTAACTCAATTTTTATCATATTTTCAGTTTATGTAATAAGAACGGGCAAACAGCTGAAGATCTCGCTTGGTCGTGTGGATTTCCAGACTGTGCCAAGTTTCTTACAACAATTAAATGCATGCAGACAATAAAACCAAGTGACCACTCGGACAGGAATGATCGTGTTCCTGTGCTCAGACAGAAGCGAAGTTTTGGCAGTGTAGGAAATATCAGTGGGAAAAGGAAGTGTTGGTAAGTAACTCAGAGCTGTTCTCCTCCCTCAGCAATTGATCTCATTTGCATAGCATTTATTATTCCATTTAATACTGACACTCTTATTTCTAGTAGTGGTGTTTCATTCTCATTAACATCTTAATATTGGTTATATGAGTCTAGAGACCAAAAATGGGCCTGCATGGTGGAAGTTTGGGGATAAAACTCATTTTTTTAAAAAAAGTTTTTAATGTCAGCATGTTTTTTTAAAAACAGATGTCACGTGGGTCATGAAGAAGTCTGAAGAACGCCCTCATTTCATGCAGATCTATAAGTTCCTGCTTTTGGCTTTACCATATGTGTGTCTAAACTCCTTCTGAGAAGGAGGAAAAACTTTCTTCCAAGTGAAGATCCATTTAAGAACACATGTATTTACATGCCTATAACATGCTGGTTGTGTATGCTTTGTCTTTTAAGTTTTATTAAAGGAATGTCTAAAAAATACATTCTCCGTGCTGTATTTACAACCTTTGAAAAAGGTCATAATTTAAACCGTCAAACTAGAACCAGGATTTAAGGTGAAATTAAACTGATTCTTTATTCACAAATTTATAATACCACTCTACTGCAGTCTTTGACTCCAAGATATTTTAAATCATATTTGGTCGCTGAGGAAGACATAAGTTATAGTATGCATCCTTGTTCCAAAAGTCTGGACCCTTCCATCCGCACCAGCCCTGCATAGAGGAGAAGGGAAAGGGAAAAGCCTTTTACAAAGTTACAAGATGATGTCATGGAAATCGTGACATCAGGCTCTGTCAGGAGGACCTTGGAATAAGACTCTAAATGGCTTTATCATTCAAGGATTTGAACTCCTACTAAGCATAGAAAAGTAACTTGCCCTTTTTAAGGTAGGTTTTTGAACTTTTAAGTCTATATAATTCATCATAAAAATCATTTTTAAAAAACTTACTTATAATTACTCCAGATACCACACTTTACTGATTCTGAGATGTATAGTTTTACTGCTTGAAACTGACAGCATGTGACAGTTGAGCTAGCAGTCTGTTTTTCTGAGTAGTCCATAAAGGGCTATAAGAGACCATTCAGTGGCATCTTAGGATTGAAGCACTGTAGTGAGAACCCTCAGCTTGCCCCCTGCCTGGTACTCTGTGCCCTTTCATTTTCAAATCCCAGGTGTTACTCAATTCTACTTTCTATGTTTCATGTCAGTATTCCTCCTTTTTGACCTCAGAGAAAATTACTTTCAAGCAAAAGCTCACTTAAAATATGAAAATTTCTCAGATTTCTTCTAGGACCACTGAGTTATTAAAGAAGGAAACTTGAAGGAAAAGCCAATAACTGGTCTGTATTGTATGATTCTCAAATGAAATGCTTTGAGAAATCCTTGCGAAGAGGCTGAGACTCTGAAAATACCACGAAGTGAGTGACAAGCAGTGGTCTGACTCCCTCCCAAATAAGATACACATTGTAAAAAAACAAAAGTAAAAAATCCTCCACCAGTCCTACTCCCCACTCTCCCTGCGTAATCAGCATTCTATTTATCATCTCATTTTTTCAGCAAAAGTTTCTCTTAATGTCCTGTTTTTCTTAACAGACAAATAGAAAAAAGACTCACTCTCTGTTTTAACCTTTTTTTGATCCTTTTACACATGAAGGTCTTATCCAGGTAACCAGATCCAAATTTCTTAAAGGAGAAATGGCTAGAGAGGGTGTCAAAATGGGACTGTATAGGGACATGGTGCTTAGGACATGCTTGTTTCCTGAGAGATGACCAGCCTGGGAACTTCAAACAAGAAAGCACCACAAGAAGACAAAGGTCAGGCAGAGATGGAACTCTCCTCTGGCCTCCTGGGTTTCTGGAGTCAAGTGAATCATTTCCAAGTGGAAGCCTGGAGTGCCTTAGCCTGCTTGTAGCCAGTGATGGCTTCACAGTTTCTTGTGCATACAAATAGCGCAAGGAGGTATCTGCTGTTGAAAAGTTCTATAGGAATATAACTAGCAAAGATGGAGACTGCAATTCTCAGAGAGAGGAACCAGGTACAATCCCTTACTCTAATTGTTCAGAAACCTTATCTAGATAATGCCATGTAGTGCAGAGTCCCTTGAGCCAACCAGAAAAGATAAATTTTATGATGAAAATAATTAAGGCTTCTCCCTGCCTTTAAGAAAAAATCTAAATGCCTGGTTCACAAAGACCACCCCCCCACCCGGTTTTTTTTTTTTTTTTTTTGAGACGGAGTCTCACTCTGTTGCCCAGGCTGGAGTGCAGAGGCGCGATCTCGGCTCACTGCAAGCTCTGCCTCCCATGTTCATGCCATTCTCCTGCCTCAGCCTCCCAAGTAGCTGGGACTACAGGTGCCCGCCACCGTGCCCCGCTAATTTTTTGTATTTTTAGTAGAGATGGGGTTTTACCACGTTAGCCAGGATGGTCTTGATCTCCTGACCTCGTGATCCGCCCGCCTCCCAAAGTGCTGGGATTACAGGCGTGAGCCACTGCGCCCGCCAAGGCCACCCTTTTTGACTGAGCTTGGTGTGTCCTTCCAGCCTCACCTCCACCTAGCTCTGGACACTGATCTACCTGGAGTGTAGCTTTCACTGTTCCTACAGGGTTCCGCTACAGCATCAGCCTCGTAAAAGCACCTGAGATACCATTTTTTTTTCTTGAGAGTCCTTTTTGGACTGTCCTCTGCCCTACACTAAAGGTTTTAGCTCCCTAAAAACGTCGTGTAATACTAGTGCTTAGGACAGTGCCTGGCACTTATTAGGTACTTTAATAAATATTGAATGAACACCTTGCTACAGAACCAGAGTACTGCTACTATATTCAGTAAGATACATGTACCAGTCAGAAACCTTTTAGAGACTTCAAATTCCAAATGCTGTGAAAGAGAAAAGCAAAAGGAAAAACACTTACAACTGTAATAACACACGTCCATCCTGTTAGTGTTTACCCTTCTCATAAACAAAAGACTTCAGTAAACTGTCAGTAGAAGACAACTGGACTACACACATTCAAAACTGGTTTTTTTTTTGTTTTTGAGCCAGAGTTTCACCCGTGTTGTCCAGGCTGGAGTGCGATAGCGCCATTTCGGCTCACTGCAACCTCCGCCTCCTCGGTTCAAGTGATTACCCTGCCTCAGCCTCCCACACAGCTGGGATTACAGGCGCCCGCCACCCGCCTGTCTAATTTTTGTATTTTTAGTGGAGACGGAGTTTCACCATGTTGGCCATGGTGGGTCTCAAATTCCTTATCTCAGGTGATCCGCCCACCTCAGCATCCCAAAGTGCTGGGATTACAGGTGTGAGCCACCGCGCCCGGCTTAAAACTCTTTAACATATTAAAACATTTTATTTTTAGTTTATGGTTTAAAAGTATGTATTCTCTGCAATTTCTTTCTTTTTTTTTTTTTTGAGACGGAGTCTCGCTCTGTCGCCCAGGCTGGAGTGCAGTGGCGCGATCTCGGCTCACTGCAAGCTCCGCCTCCCGGGTTCACGCCATTCTCCTGCCTCAGCCTCCCGAGTAGCTGGGACTACAGGCGCCCACAACCGCGCCCGGCTAATTTTTTGTATTTTTAGTAGAGACGGGGTTTCACCGTGGTCTCGATCTCCTGACCTTGTGATCCGCCCGCCTCGGCCTCCCAAAGTGCTGGGATTACAGGCGTGAGCCACCGCGCCCGGCCTTCAATTTCAATGTATTTGGCAAAGAAGATAAATGTTACTTAAAATTCAAGTTAATTATGTTTTACAATACTTTCTCCTAAAGACTTGGTGCTGAGTTTTCATATGTGAGAATTAGTTGCCTATGAATTAACAACTTTTTACTCCCTTACCTGCTATTGTAAGTAAGAACAAATACTCTTAGACATGTATCAACTTCAAACCCTTTATAGAGTGAGATTAGGTAATATGTAAATAAATTAAAATTAGTCAAGCTTCCATAATGTCTAGCAAACTGCTTAGCTATCTTTTGGTTACTTCTGAAATTTTAAAAGTTTATATATTCCACTCATCTATTTTAAGACATTGATAAACTTTGATACATTTGTTTATGAAAGCTCTAAAATCTCCAAAGGAATATATTTATGAGTGTGTGTCCTATTACTAATTTCAATAACTGAGAAAGTTTCCATAAATCTACATTTTGTCTTTTGCAATGTGCGTTGTTCCTGCACGTTCCCTATACAGAGAGGACTACTGACAACAGCCTCAGAAGGCCTCCTCACAGGCAGGATCTCTGCCCTCAGCTTACTGTCCTTCTGTTACCAGCCAGTTTGTGATCCTTCATTTCTAGGTTCTTTGCCTTGTGTCTCAGTTTGTGTTAAATGGATACTTACCTTTTCCAAAATCACTTGTAGGTCTTCAGCACCAGTATAATGTGGATCTAGAATCAGAAACTTTATCTGCCCTGTAATCTCATTCCATGCAATTCCTAGTATCGTGTGGGCCAAAACTCCTCCCCCTATATAAGAAAAAATAGGAAATAAGAATGAAGACACAAACAAATGTCAAATGCCTATTCAATTTAAAAAGACAGATTATGGCCCGGTACAGTGGCTCACGCCTGTAATCCCAGCACCTTGGGAGGCCGAGGTGGGCGGATCACGAGGTCCTAATACAGTGAAACCCTGTCTCTACTAAAAAAATGCAAAAAAAAATAGCTGGGCGTGGTGGTAGGTGCCTGTAGTCCCAGCTACTCAGGAGGCTGAGGCAAGAGAATGGTGTGAACCTGGGAGGTGGAGCTTGCAACGAGCTAAGATCACGCCACCGTACTCCAGCCTGGGCGACACAGCAAGACTCAAAAAAAAAAAGATACTTTGCCTATTAACTGATCTAAAATAGCATTAAAATGGACTGCTCTAAACTATAAAAGTGTGGGGAAAAGAAAGCGAGATCAGACTGTTATTGTGTCTATATACAAAGAAGTAGACATAAGAGACTCCATTTTGTTCTGTATTTGAGATGCTGTTACCATCTCAAATCTGTGACCCTACCCCTGACCTTGTCCTTGCAAGAGACATGTGCTGTGGTGACTCAAGGTTTAAAGGATTTGGCGCTGTGCAGGGTGTGCTTTGTTAAACAAGTGCCTGAAGGCAGTATACTTGTGAAAAGTCATCACCATTCTCTTAATCTCAAGTACCCAGGGACACGTACACTACCAAAGGTCGCAGGGACCTCTGCCTAGGAAAGCTAGGTATTGTCCAAGGTTTCTCCCCATGTGATAGTCTGAAATATGGCCTCGTGGGAAGGGAAAGACCTAATCGTCCCCTAGCCTGACACCCGTGAAGGGTCTGTGATGAGGATTACTATAAAGAGGCAGAAGGCCTCTTGGCAGTTGAGATAGAGAAAAGCATCTGTCTCCTGCCCGTCCTGGGCAATGGAACATCTCGGTGTAAAACCCGACTGTATGTTCTATTTACCTCAGCCTCCTGAGTAGCTAGGACTACAGGTGCACACCAGCACACCCAGCAAATTTTCTGTATTTTTTTTAGTAGAGATGGGGTTTCACTGTGTTAGCCAGGATGGTCTCGATCTCCTGACCTTGTGATCCGCCCACCTCGGCCTCCCAAAGTGCTGGGATGACAGGCGTAAGCCGACGTGCCCGGAATTTTTTTTTTTTTTTTTTTTTTGAGACAGAGTCTTGCTCTGTCACCCAGGCTGAAGTGCAGTGGGCAATCCCGGCTCACTGCAACCTCCACCTCCCAGCTCAAGCGATTCTCCTATTTCAGCATCCCAAGTAGCTGGGATTACAGGTGCGTGCCACTACACTCAGCTAATTTTTGTATTTTTAGTAGAGACAGGGTTTTGCCATATTGGCCAGGCTGGTCTCAAACTCTTGGCCTCAAGTGATCCGCCCCCCTCAGCCTCCCAAAGTGCTGGGATTACAGGCGTTAGCTACCGGGCCTGGCCTAACTCATTAAGTTCTTTCTGATATTTTGCTGACATCAGCCTACCTCCATTTCCTTTTTTTTTTTGAGACAGTTTCTCACTTCTGTCACCCAGGCAGGAGAGCAGTGGATTTCTTGGCTCACTGCAGCCTCCTGGGCTCAAGCAATCCTCCCATCTCAGTCTCCTGAGTAGCTGGCACTACAGGCTCACACTACCATGCCAGCTAATTTGTGTATATATTTTTTTTTTGGTAGAGATGGGGTCTGGCCATGTTGCCCACGCTGGTCTCAAATTCCTGGATGCAAGCTATCCTCCTGCCTCGGCCTCCCAAAGTGCTAGGATTACAGGTGTGAGCCACTACACCGTTTCTACCTCCATTTCTTACACACTAGTCTCAGCTTGCCTTCTGTCATCATAGGACAGGTCTTGTTCTTCACAGAATTAAGCATCTCTAGATCAGCTAATCCAATCTTCTTATTTTACAGATAAAATCCAGAGATGTAAGTAATTTGCAAAATGTCACAAAGCCAGCCAAGTTAGCAACAAAGTCATAACTTACGAAGCTCAGCTGAGTGACCATTTCCTCTTTTTTTTTTTTTTTTTTGAGACGGAGTCTCGCTCTGTCGCCCAGGCTGGAGTGCAGTGGCCGGATCTCAGCTCACTGCAAGCTCCGCCTCCCGGGTTCGGGCCATTCTCCTGTCTCAGCCTCCTGAGTAGCTGGGACTACAGGCGCCCGCCACCTCGCCCGGCTAGTTTTTTGTATTTTTTAGTAGAGACGGGGTTTCACCGTGTTAGCCAGGATGGTCTCGATCTCCTGACCTAGTGATCCGCCCGTCTCGGCCTCCCAAAGTGCTGGGATTACAGGCTTGAGCCACCGCGCCCGGCCTATCATTTCCTCTTTTTAATACTGCTCTCAGCTCTTTAAATGTTTGAACATAGCTACCATTTCTCAGCCTTTGCTTCTTCTGGTTATTATAATCTGTTTTGTAACCCTTAAGCCACCTTGGAAATTTTTTTCAATATCCAGAGATCCATATATATGGTATAAAAGTTAATTTCAAAATTTTTTAAATGACTGATTTTATGCAACATTAAATATTTATATCAATGATAAGTTTTACATAATACTCACTCTACCAAAAACGATGTCTGAAACAGCTTACCGATCATAACTGGAGTTCCTTCGCTTTGGAAATGATTAGCCAGTTCCCGTCCTTGAGAGGCCATTTCTGAACCTTGGCTAGAAAGAAACCATTTTCTATCAGATGAATTACTTCCAACACTAAGGCCAAATAATGAGCGAGGAGACAATGTTTCCTACATTCTTGTTTTTTTCAGGTTGTTATTGATAAAATATATAAATGTAAAAAAATTAAGTGGTACGGAACTGACAGAACAATTAAACTGTGCGATTTAAAGCAACATAAACTCAAAATACTTCAGGCCGCTAAGTGTGGTAGTTAAGAAGCTAACAGACCTTGATTTTCTGCTTCTTGGACTGCGTAAAGGCGGCCTGGGTTTATTCACATGAAGTTAAAACGTCACCTTGGTGCTCAGGGAGTTCTTTTGGATGGACTGATCAGAAGAATGAGTGTTAAGTGCTGGGTTCTTGCCCTCTTGTTGGTGCACTTCTCAGTCTGTATTTCCTCATCTTTACACTGGGACCCAAAATACCAACCTGTCTACACAACAGGAGAGTCTCGGACTAAAACACGTGTCTGAAATCAACGCGAAAGCTGCAAAATGTTTTCAAGTGCAACATACTATTTTTAGGGACTCTCAGAATTCTTACTTTTGAGAAGAGAAAGAAAGATGGGCTAATGAAAGGAGGTATTTTTTGGGGGGAGGTGTCTGGTGGTGCTAAACCTTAGCTCTTGCTTAATGAGGAATGTATAATGTTTTAACGTACCAAAACTGTAACTTTTAAAAAAAGTTCTTCACTACTTAAGCCTGTCATTGTTTTTTATTATTACTTTTTTTGAGATGGAGTCTTGCTCCGTTGCCCAGGCTGGAGTGTAGTGGCGCGATCTCAGCTCACGTGCAACCTCCGCCTCTCAGGTTCAAGGGATTCTCCTTCCTCAAAGCCTCCTGAGTAGCTGGGATGACAGACGTGCGCCACCATGCCCAGCTCATTTTTGTATTTTTAGTAGAGACAGGGTTTCACCATGTTGGCCAGGCTGGTGTCAAACTGCTGACCTCAGGTGATCCACCCACCTCGGCCTCCCAAAGTGCTGGGATTACAGGCATGAGCCACTGTGCCCAGCCAGTCTGTCATTTTTTACCACTGATTTTCATAACCACTGAGGACTGATACAATGAGGACAATGTTAGTATAATTAACAATAGAAAATGTATTTTATTTGTTGTTTGGGTTTTTTTTCTCTCTCTCTTTTTTTAGAAAATGTATTTTTTCTTTTTTTTTTTTTGAAAGGGAGTCTCGCTTTGTCACCTGTGCTGGAGTGCAGTGGTGCGATCTTGGCTCACTGCAACCTCCACCTCCTGGGTTCAAGCAATTCTCCTGCCTCAGCCTCCTGAGTAACTGGGATTACAGGCATGCACCACCACACCCAGCTAATTTTTTTGTATTTTTAGTAAAGACGGGATTTCGCCCTGCTGGCCAGGCTGGTCTCAAACTCCTGACCTCAGGGGATCCACCCACCTCGGCCTCCCAAAGTGCTAGGATTACAGGCGTGAGCCACCGTGCCCAGCCAGAAAATGTATTCTAAAACATAAGCTCATACAATCAGGAGTAAGCTAGTTATGGTCATAGAAAATTATTTATTTATATTTTCTCATTTTAATATTAGAATTATGGTTAAGATACACTGGAAAAGACAAAATGAATACATTATTTGGACTCATGACTGGATTATTAATATTTTAGGAAGAAAAGAGCAGGAGGTAAACAAAAAGCTCAGTCATAGATCAACATCTGAGTTTTTCCTTTTAAAACTTTTTAAAAGATTGAAGCATAAAGAAACTGTTAATACAATTTTTATAACTACTCAACGTTAATATATTTTTAAGGTTTCCTCTTCTAGGCTAAAATTAGGCCTAAATAATATAAGTATACATTACTCACAAAGTCACTTTGAAATAATTTATCTAATTTCTTAAAGTATCCTTACCTGACAAACAGTATTTTTGAAGTTATACCAATCAATTGGTTTAGTACCAGCTGTACCTCAATAGATCCAATCCATTGCCGTGATCCGACAAATGTTGCTGGTTTGTCACCGGCATCGACTAGAGCCTTTACGTATTTAAAAATATAAAAAAAATCCATACACAAGACAGCCATTAAGAATACTTTTTTCTTCAACACAGAAATAAGTCTGCACCATGAGGTAACAAATATTATCAATGGTATGTTAGATCAAGGGCTAATGAAATGTAGAGTTGATTATAATTTAAAATGACATGTTCTGTACCTGCTGAATTTCTCTGTGTGTTGGAATGGACCTCTCTGTGTATCCCTGATGTTTGAACCAAGAGCAGATAGTCTGCAGAGACCGATAAGCACAGCCCCAGCCACTGTCATCGATCCGATCCTGCATATAATGATGATAGCCATATACGCCCTGGACCACACAAATCTATACACAGAGAAGAAACACAGTGAAATATTAACTTAGGATAGAAGTACATATTCTATATATGCTCCTGAATTATGTTTAATGTCACTGTAGTTCCTTATAAAAATGCCTTCACAGATCTATGGTTTAACATTATACCTTCTTGGCTTTTTATCTGAGGTTCAAAGTCCTTACCACGGGGCCCAGCAGGACCTACCTTCGGGCCTCCTCTTCAATTTCATCTCCTAAACTTTTCCCTATTGCTCCCTCTACTTTCAGTTCCCATATACCAGGGGCAACATGACCTCGGAGCCTCATGATTCTCTTGGTCTGGAGCTCTCTTTTCCCAAATTAATTGTCCAGCTTGCACTCTTACTTCACTCAGGTCTCCATTTAGATGTCAGAGGTATTCCCTGACCATGCAGTCTACAGACTGCCCACTCATTCTCTCACTGCCCCACCCCCTGCCTCACCTGTCATCTCTGTCCTCTTTATGTTTTTATTTGTCAAAGTATATCACTACTTGACACATTACTTACCATTTAAAAAATATCTGCCTACCTACACTAGTATGTGAGCTCAGTGAGTACATACACCGTGTCTTATCCATTTTGGGGCCCAAGCTTCTACAACACGCCTGGCACGCGGTTGGCATAAATGTTGTTGAATAAATGCTGAATGAAGGAAGGAAGGAATAAAGGAATGAACGAACAAGTGAAGGGTCCATGTCATGGGACACAGGAAGAATGTTTGTGCAAATTTATAAACCTGCTATGATTGCAGCCCAGGTATGTGATTTGATGACCCTAAATTAAGGGTCAAAAAATAAAGATAAATAAATTACTAATATCACATAAATTCTTACTTATAATGCTAAGAATGTATACGTCTTTTTTTAAAGAACTGGGTTTTTGTTTTTATTTTTTTGAGATTGGGTCTCACTATGTTGCTCAGGTTGGTCTTAAACTTCTGGGCTCAAGTGATCCTCCTGCCTCAGCCTCCTGAGCAGCTGGGATTACAGTTACATACCACCATGCCTGGCTCCAAACTGATATTATTTTTTTAAAATTAGGTGAGAAGAGATAGGGGCAAAGATAGAACCAACCCTCACCCAACAATTAGAGAATATATATTCTGCCCAAGCACAGATAGAAAAATTTGTAACTTGACCATTGTGGCAGGCTGAAAGGTGGCTCCCAAAAGGAATATATGTCCTAATCCCTGGAACTTGTGAATGCACCCTCTGTGCCAAAAAGTAAAAGAAAAAAGAAAAGCAAAGGTATTAATAGACGTGACTAAGTTAAGGATCTTAAGATGGGCAGGTTATCCTGGATTCCAGTGGGCCCTAAATGCAATCACATATATTCTTAAAAGAGTGGGCATAGGAGGAGAAGGTAATGTGACCAAGGAGACAGAGATCAGAACGATGGGGCCACAAACCAAAGGATGCTAGCAGCCACCAGATTAAGGAATGGATTCTCCCCCAGAGCCTATGGAGGGAAGGTGGCCCTGCTGACACTGTGATGTCAGCCCAATGACACTACTTTCAGACCTCCAGAACTGAGACAATACATTTCTGTAGTTTTAAGCCATCAAGTATGTGATTATTTTTTAGGGAACAAATACAAGTTTCAATAAATGCCACGATACGACGGCCAAGTCTTCTTTCTCTTGGGAATCTGAATTGAGAGGTGCAGAGTTAGCCAGGCAGCCGGGAGCAGGAAATGCAGTTGGAATGAGGCATACACTGAGCAGCTGAGGAAGAACAGGAAAAAGTGACACACAAGCTGAAACAGTAAGGACACAGAGGGTATGAGGCTGAGCAGACAGAGTAAAAGTTAAGAACAGGCCAGTTAGGATCACAAGCATACAGAGAAAGCAACAGCAATGCCACCAAGGTATCCACGGAGTCCTTGAGAGAGACTGAGGGGGGACAGCTGCCAGTCACAGGGCTGCTGTTTCTAAGAGACCCAGCTGTGCTGGTATTCCTAATCTTGGATGCCTATAAGGTCCTTTCACATTGGCCTCCATGCATCCTTAAAGTAACCCTTCCAACACCCTCTACCAGTTCACTCTTATTTGAGCTACCTTTAGTGAGGTATATGTTACACAGAATACCTCACTATGGCAACCGGGTATATGTTACACAGAAAATAAGTGTAGCTTTATCCTACAGTGGCTGGGCACGGTGGCTCACACCTGTAATCCCAGCACTTTGGAAGGCCTACATGGCGAATCACTTGAGGTCAGGAGTTCAAGACCAGCCTGGCCAACATGGTGAAATCCTGTCTCTACTAAAAATACAAAAATTAGCCAGGTGTGGTAGCAGGTGCCTGTAACCCCAGCTACTCAGGAGGCTGAGGCAGGAGAATTGCTTGAACCCGAGAGGTGGAGGTTGCAGTGAGCTGAGATCACACCATTGCACTACAACCTGAGTGACAGAGTAAGACTCCGTCTCAAAAAAAAAAAAAAAAAAAAAAAAAGACGTATCCTACAGTATGGTTTGGGTAGACTATGCCCTTAATTAGCATGATTTCTCAGGTATCCAGAATGAAAAAATGGGACAAGCCTTTAAAGAAATAAGAGAATTTTGGTAAGATAAATGTGGTATATACTACCTATTACTAACTTTTCTAGACCATTTTTAATTACTGCCATCTTAAGCAATGCCTGTTACCAGAGATGGGTGATAAATCATGTTTTAGGAATGAATATATCATGAATCAAGTCTTCTACCAGGTACCAACAAAAAACAACTAATAACATTACTGATCAAGTGACTCCCATAATTAGTTAAACTCACCATACCAGTCTCCATGTTAGGTGGATTAAGATAAGTATGTGGATTTCTAATGTAACCATCTTTGTATGGTTCATCTGGAAAGTGATAAGCATTAGACCTTTTGAAATAGGGTCTGTCATGAGGCAGTTTGAAGAGATCATGTAACTCCTAAAATAAGTCAGAATCAATGGAAAAAGAAAAAATGTTGGTGATTTAGATTCCTAGTCAATAAATAAACTAAAGATGTTATAAAACACAGAAAATTATATATGGGTTATAAAAGTTTCCAAACACTTATGGTTTCATTCACTAACATCAAAGATAGTGAAAACTGAACTAAAACCAAGATTTATTTTCATTTACGTCTGTATCTGGGTAGAAACTGGAAGGGAACAGAGAAAAATGAATATAAATTGTTACAGTAAGAGAACTGAGATAATTTTTAAATAATTATTATAACATAGTCTGTTAAAATACATCCAGGCTAAACACTGGCTTTGAAATAGCCTTGTAAATGAGTAAATTATAATTAACAATAATTATATCAAAGTATTTTGAAAAATCATGTCTAGAGTGCTTTACAAATATTTTATATTTTAAGTGGTAGTGATTAAGCTACAGAGTAGAAGTTAGTGGTCTAAAACCAACCAATATGGCAGGAAAATAAATACACATACATGTTTAAAATGTGATATTTTCCCAACTATATAAAAACATGTAATAGCTACTTTAAAATTTTGACATGTTCTTTAGCATATCTTGTGCTCTAGTGGTTTGAAAAGATCAGCTCCTGTAGCTGCTGCTTCTACAAACCAAGTCACCGCCACATACAGAGGGTCAGGGTATCACGTTTCTCCCTAAGGACAGAAATTAGGAAGATGCTCCGTGGTCTAATTTGATGAGTTCTAAGCAAGTCCACATACCAAAAAGATGTACTCCACAACCAGCCATTTTGCCAGTAAACCTCATTACTCTGAATGCTGGTGATGTTTTCTCCCAAATTCCTCTAATAAAGCCCAAATAACCTTACTGGTGGAGTATTACCATAAACCCTATTCAGAATTAGCATAAGTTATCATTTTCCTTCCCTAACTGTAATCTTGTCTCTTTCACAAACCTGGAAGTTATAGAAATTTGTTTACACCAGCTACTTTAGGCAGGTAAGCACCTTTTCATTTCTATGTTTCATTAGGGAAAAATATTAAAATTTCACAGAATATATGAACCACACCGAGCATTTAAAATTAAAATGTTACATACAGGTTCAACATAAGATTTTTTCACTAATACTACTTAAAGTTTCATGAGAACAGAAATTAAATAATGTGTAAAATGAACAGTCTAACTTCTACACTTTTAAGTTAAATCACAAAATCCCTTCCATTTAGTGGAAATATATAATTAAATACAAAATGAATGATAGTCATTATTGTTTTTTCTAAGAATAAATGAACTGGTTTTACCTTCCTATAGGCCTGCAGCTGGCCATCTGGTATTCCTGAAGGATAGGAAATTGTTACAAGATTTTTTTTCCCTGGTAATAAAAAGTGCAGTGGTTCAGGGACCACAATAGACGTTCCTTTCATATATTTCAAAATACATTTTTCCATGTCAGTTAGTTGATTATGAATTGCATCAACTAGGAGTTTACGAACTCTGTGGGGGGAAACATATAAGTGTATTAACAAAAGTTATAGTGGCTACAATAAAGAAAAGTACAGAGCTAATATATTCTTAATATAGTAAAAAACTTGATTGGACCAGGTTTGCTAAAGGAAGTCTGAATTATGCATTATAAAAGAAACTGTATATTTGCTCTTGTGGATAAAGGGAAATCCTCCAGGTTTTAGCATGCTACCCACCCTACTTCCTCCAAATAACCATTTAACTAATAGATGGCTCTTAGGTTAATAATAAACAAGGAGAAAATCACACCTTAGGTATGCCTACAGGATACAGAAACATGGGTTTGGGGAAGGGCCCTGATTTAAATGTGGCAGTGGTACTACAAAAATACTTACTTTCCCCATGTTTCTTCTGGAGCAACAGATATAACTGCATCGACAGGTAAAGTCATATTAACATAATGGTGTCCTCCGCTTTCCCTTTCAATGATGGGCGTTACAGCTGCCAGGGAGGTTGACATTTCCAGCATAAGATCTATATTTACTATTTGATGCTATACAGATAAACAGGAATAGTCAACTTGTAGTATATTAAACACTAAATATAAAGAGTAAGTAAAAAGACTTTTCAAAAATGTATTTTTTATTAAGAAAAAAAATTTAAGACTAGTCAAGTACAGTAGTGAAAAGGGGGGAGAGAGTAGAGAACAAGGAGTTCAATCTGTAACTGGCTGTGAATGGTCAATTGAGATAACTCACTACCCCCAGACCAGCCGGTAAAAGGACTTTTAAAGGATAGTATATAAAGCGGTACTACAGTAAAAAGATTAAAAGCACAAATATTATTTTAAAAAGAAATTACTTTTTGCTTCAAAATAATGTGGGGAGAGGGATTAAGAAGTAAAGATGAAATCAGGCTGGCCATGTGTTGATAAACATTAAAACCATCCATAGGTTCACTGGGGTTCATTACATGATTCTCTCCACTTTTATATTGACTTAAAATTTTTAAAAAATCAAATGAACATAAACTAACCACACACCAAAGGAACTTTCAAACATGTAACTATGTACCCCTGGTCTAATACATAAATAACTATAAACAAATACTGAATTCTACTTTGTAGGTTTGATTTTTACAGGGATATGGAACAATTCTGAAATTTACACTAAACAAATTTTGCAAAATATTGAGGATCCTGGGAGACAGACTTCTCACTGGGAAAAGGTCAAGCACTCTAGGGTTGAAGTGGAACTGGAGGTATCAATGTGATTTACATAGATAAAAATGAATGTATTATATGTGTGTGTGTGTGGACAGTCTAAATGTCTAAAAGTTTGTGCCCTTGGAAAAATGACTGATTCCCTAGCTAGAACAGGAAAAACACATGTTGCACCTGGAAAAAAGGAGGAAGTGCCCAAAGTTACAATGTTAGAAAGGCACCGGAGCCAGCTTGAAGAAGCTTCTATTGGCCAAATCTTGGAAAATGTGAGCATCAAAATAACTAATGATAGTACCAGATTATAAACTACTGTATAAAGTAAGAATCCATGGCAGATAATACAGAAGGAAATGATAGATTTAGAAAAATCACCACTTTGTAATCACCAGGTTAATACTGGATTCTGGCAAAAATTATCAATGGATGCTAAAAGTGGTGGGTAAAAATCTGATGAGGACTAAAGTAAGATACATATGTAGTATCAAAGTTTCTTCCCACAAGATACTAATTATAAGGGAAAAAACAGTACCTTTACCACAGAGAAAACTGGTGGATGCCATCTTAGGTAAGTGAAGTTAACCTCACCAATAATAGGAACAGACTGATAACTGTTTCTCTTGCATATGATGTGCTGAGGTCACAACATCGCTTCTGTGGTATCCCTGCCAATCATACATGGTCTAACTCTAATAGCAAGGAAGCATAAAACAAATCCAAAAGGAGGAACAGTCTTAAAAAGAACTCACCTGTACCCCTCAAAATGTCAAGCTCCAATTACTGGTAATTTTCAGTCATTGTATCCAGCCCATAATTATTTTGTGCATTCCACATCTGTAAATCTAACAGCTCATCTGTACATCTTACTGAGGTCTTAAACATGGCCCAAACCAGCCTCATGTCCTCCTCACCTTCCATCTTTACCCACGCAAGAAACTGATCTTGCCAGTTAGTTTCCAAGCAGAATCCACTGTATCCCTAAATATCTCTCGTATCCAATCCCTTTTCTGTATTTCCATAGCTAGTGGTTTAGTTAGGCCTCTTCTAAAGAGGCCTGTGCCCACCTCTCCAGCCTTATGTCCACCCATTCTCCCTCTACTAGCCTGGAAACACTGTAGTCATATTAACTTTGTACAACTTCGTGCCTTGAAGAAGCATCTCCATTTTTTATCTTCAACATCTGTTAAAAGTTTGTGGCACATGGCAGGTACTCAGTAATATTGGTTCAAAAATCAACAGAACCAGCCAGGTGCGGTGGCTCATGCCTGTAATACCAGCACTTTGGGAGCCCGAGGCAGGTGGATCACCTGAGGTCAGGAGTTTGAGACCAGCCTGGCCAACATGGTGAAATCCTGTCTCTACTAAAAATACAAAAATTAGCCGGGCGTGGTGGCGGGCACCTGTAGTCCCAGATACTCAGAAGGCTGAGGCAGGAGAATCGCTTGAACCCGGGAGGCAGAGGTTGCAGTGAGCCGAGATTGTGCCATGGGACTCCCGCCTGGGCAACAAGAGTGAAACTCCATCTCAAAACACATACACACACACACACACACACACACACACACACAAAAGCAACAGAACCAAGAATAGTGTGAAGAAAAATAAATCATTTACTATTTATTTTATGTGGCACAGTGTGTCACTCTGTCATGATTCAGAATGCCTCGATTTAATTTAAATAATTTATAAATGTATTCAGGCTGTTTTATTTTCATGGGAGCAGAGAAAGCATTACAATAACAACCCTTTTGAGATTATGTATTATAATGAGACAAAAGTTGAGATATGTAAGACAAAACTTTTGGCAAGTCATTTAATCTTTTTGGACATCAATATTCTGACCTATGATAAGAGGGTTAGATTAAATTATTTCTAAGGTTGCACTCAGTTCCAAATTCAAAGATTTAACATTTTTATCAGTAGAGAAGACAGATGGTTTGCTTACCATGTCTGATAATTTTTTGTCCTTCTTTCTCATGAATTTTCGTTTTATATCTTCTTCCGGCTCAAATCTAAATTTTTAATACACAAAGACATTTATAATATGAAATGATGTTTTGAAAACATTTCTAGAAATCTTCAAACGTACTCACTGAATAAAGCGCAGTATGTTCTTACAAGCGGAAGCATCAGTCAGTTCTCCAGGAATGGTGTTTACGTCACTGCTAGGCCATATATACACTGAACTGTGGCAAATTCTGAACACAAGGGCGTTTGAAGAAAGCTTGGTTGACAGGTCACTCAACACATGTTTCAGTGCCTTCTTGAGAAAAATTTCTAAATTAAAAGAATATAAATAGAAGTTAAGAAAAACAAAATTTTCAACATGAATGGTTCCAAACATACACAAAAGTAGAGCATAGTAAAACTCTCAATACCCATTCCCCCCCCATATTCAATAATTATTTTAAAATTTTTTGCCTATCTTTTTAAAAAATTGAGACAAAATTCACAGACCACAAAATTCATTCTTTTAAAGCAATTTAGGGCTTTTAGTATATTCATAAGGTTTTATAATCATCACTAATTCTAGAACATTTTCATCACTCCAAAAAGAAACCCTGTACCTACCAGCAGTCATTTCTCATTCCCCCTACTTTTCTCAAATTGAAAATTTTCTGATTTACCTCCTATGTCTTTTTTTTTTTTTTCTTTTTGAGACGGCGTCTCGCTCTGTCACCCAGGCTGGAGTGCAGTGGCGCGAACTGGGCTCACTGCAAGCTCCACCTCCCAGGTTCACGCCTTTCTCCTGTCTCAGCCTCCCAAGTAGCTGGTTCTACAGGTGCCCGCCACCACACCTGGCTAATTTTTGTATTTTTAGTAGAGACGGGGTTTCATCGTGTTAGCCAGGATAGTCTCGATCCCCTGACCTCGTGATCCGCCTGCCCCGGCCTCCCAAAGTGCTGGGATTACAGGCGTGAGCCACCGCGCCCAGCCCTCCTACATCTTTTCTAATTTGCACATGGTACTCCATGGGCTGGTGGAGATGCTGGAACACAATATCTAAGTTTAAATCCCATTCAATCCACTTACTAACTATATGATCTTAGTTTTTACCTCTCAGCTTCCTTTGCAAAATGAAAAGAATTTCAGCATACTACCCATGGCAATTATTAACCTACTTTCTTCTTTATGGATTTGCCTATTCTGGACATTTCACGTAAGTGGAATCATATACTATGTGACTTTTTGTGTCTGGCTTCTTTCACTCGGCATAATATTTCATCTGTATTGTAGCATGAATCAGTATTTCATTCCTTTTTATGGCAGGATAATATCCATTGTGTGGATACACCAATTTTGTTATTCATTCATAAATTGATGTACATTTGTTTCCACTATTTGACTGTCATGTATATGCTGCCATGAACATTTGTGCATAAGTTCAGTTTCTGTGTGGATGTGTTTTCAGTTCTCTTGGGTGATCACCCAAAGTAGAATTTCTGAGTCACACGGCAACTCTCTGTTTAACACTTTCAGGAACGGCCAAGCTGTTTTCAGCAGCCACACCATTTTATATTCCCATCAGTAATGTATAAGATGCCAGTTACTATTAAAATAATGTACTACTTATAGCAATAAAACTATTGAGTGAAATTTAAATATCTTAGTTCTTCTTCTCCTTGGACTATATCCCACTATGCCTATATAATCGAAGTTCTGTGTTCTCAAGTCACAGTTGGTTTTTCTTCCTCTGTATGGTTATGTCACCAACATGATATTTGCTTTAGTTTGTTTTTGTTTTCAAGGACTTCGTTTCAATGGACTTTTTAAAAAATATGTTTGAATATTCAAAAAATTCGAGTATTTTAATATTTTTGAATACTCGACATATTCAATTTGGAAACATTTTTATGTTTCCAAAGTCAAAACAATATAAGAAGATATAGTCAAAGGGGACAATCTTTAAATACTCGCCTTAGCCTTACATTCCTAAATCCTAAGCCTATTTAACCTCGTAGTTAAATATTTATTCAATGACCTGATTCTGCTCAAAAAGTATTTAAAAAATAAATAAATAAATAATGTCCACACTGGTATCTCGATAAATAAATACTTTGGGGCTATCGTACAGAAGAGATTATTCATAACAAATCAGATATTAAAATATCTTGATCTGTTTCAGAAAGCAGAATTTAAAGATTTTCAGTTGCACTACAAAAGACAAACGTAATTTTAAATTAGCTTCTGTTTATCCCTAAAGGACTATTTGGTAAAGTTACCTAAAAAAAACTGTGAAGCCTTTAAAGTTAAGCATGTCCATTCTCTGTATTTTCTCATTAATGAGAGTCCCTTTGTTGAGTGTTGACAGAGTTCGATTAAGGAGGAGGAATACAATAAGTCAGAAGACAAGTTCAAATATATTAATTACTAGGTAAAAAGTATCTGTAGTCCTTGTTGACATTTGATTATGAGATTATCGACTGATTAATGGATTAATTCTACTTTGGAATAAGATTATGGTAAAGTATGTTTTCAGTTTATATCAAGTTGTGAAACGTAAGGTTTTATCCATAAAGTAACATTTTAGGAAAAAACTACACTCTACTAACAACATAGGCCTGAAAATGAGTGATTTAGTCCTTATAAAATGGTTCTCATATTAACGGCACATTCGAATTACCTAGAAAGCTTACTGATGCCTGGGTCTCTGTCCCAGAAATGTAGTTTAATGTAGTCTGGTGGTAGGGATGCAAATGTGGACCAAAACTGAGAACAATATATTGGTTGAAGGGATTGGTGGAAAAGAATATTCTGCACCCTCTCCCTCCCTTCCACGGGGCTAGGAAAGGATGGCCAGCTGCAATCTCCTTCAAGGATTGCTGGTATCTGATCAGTTTAGGTGTCTGTCCCCTCCAAATTTCATGTTGAAATGGGATCCCCAGTGTTGGAAGTAGGGCCTGGTGGGAGGCGTTTGAATCATGGTCCCTCACGAATGGCTTGGTGCCATCCTCACAGTAATAAGAATGAGTTCTCACTCTTATCAGTTCACAAAAGAGCTGGTTCTTTAAAATAGCCTGGCACCTCCTCCCCTCTCTTTTGCTCCTTCTTTTGCCATGTGATACACTGCCCCCTCATTTGCCTTCTACCATGATTGAAAGTTTCCTGAGCCTCACCAGAAGCAGATACTGGCACTATGCTTTTTGTACAGTCTGCAGAACTGTGAGCCAAATAAACCTCTTCTTTATAAATTACCCAGTCACAGGCATTCCTTTAGAGCAATGCAAAACAGACTAATACAGTACTTTTCATTCCTTATCTTTCTGAACTGCTCTGTGGCTTCTGGTACCACCAATTGTACTTTTCATGAGTGATTTCATTTATTATGACGGTGTTAACTATCATCCTTCAGAGACATGACATTCTCTAGCTCCGACTCCGACCACACTCTTCTAAATTTCTGACTCAGCCAAATGCCTGTTGGGAATCTGTACTCGACCTCCCACTGGCATCAAATGAAACAAAATCTCAAACACAGCTCATCCCATTCCTCCTGATGTTCTTTATCTCAGTTTGTGACTGTTGTTCAAGTCAGCAACAGGAAGACATCCTAGAATTTGCTTCATATAAACCCTGTTGATTTTTCTCCCATAGAGTTCTTGTACTCATCCCCATATAATGTAGCATTTAAGAGAGTAGGTTCTGGAGACTCAGGATTATATATACAATTGCAAGTCTGTAATGTATAATTCTTGATGCACATTTACAATATGCTCATTGTGGATGTTTACATTTATTGTGACAATGAAGAGGGGAGTACAGTTTCTTAAGAAAGGGAACATCTTTTTCTAATCTGCACAGAGGTGCGCCAGGGGCTGGCGGGTGTGCTGGAACAGTGTCTAAGTGTAAGTCCCATTTAATGTACTTACTAACAATATAATCTTAGTTCATCCTATCTCTCACTCAGTTTCATTTGCAAAATGGAGATAATATCAGTAAATTTCACTATCAATTTTCTAATAAAAAAGAATTTTTCAGAAGACCTACCATTAGGAGTAGCTAGCTGAAAAGCTAAATCAAGGCCTCCTCTTATTCTGAAGAGTATATCCATACTTTCTGAAATCACCTAGAACAAACAGAGATAAAGACAAACTCCCTTGTAAAACAAAACAAACTCACTTTCATATAAATTAGAATCTAACTGAGTTTAGTGTTAAGACATTAATTAATCTTGATTCTTCAAATTATGTCATGAGTTAATTCATGGAAAAAATGAAAACAAAAGCAACTCCAAAATTTTAAATCAGGGGTTCTCAACCTTTGTTCTGTACTGAAATCACCCAGGGAGATTGAAATACTGATACCTGGGCTGTACTCCCAGAGATTCTGATTAATTGGTCTAAGGGGTAGGCCTAGGCACAGGGATTTTTTTTTTTTTTTTTTTTTTTTTTTGAGACAGGGTCTCACTCTGTCACCCAGGCTGGTGTGCAGTGGAGCAATCTCAGCTCACTGCAACCTCCGCCACCTGGGTCTAAGAGATTCTCCTGCTTCAGCCTCCCGTGTAGCTGAGATTACAGGCATGAACCACCACACCTGGCTAATTTTTGTATTTTTAGTAAAGATGGGATCTCAGAATATTGGCCAGGTTGGTCTTGGACTCCTGGTCTCAAGTGGTCCGCCCGTCTCGGCCTCCCAAAGTGCTGGGATTGCAGGCGTGAGCCACCGCGCCCAGCTGGCACAGGGATATTTGAAAGTACCCTATGCCCCCATGCCAGTGATTCTAATGTGAACAGTTGAGAACTACTGCTTTAAGACAATCTTTCTAAATTATAATCTTGACAGATTTAACAATGACAATAAAACATCAACAGTAAAGAACTAGTTTAAGAATGTGACAAGGCACTGAACCTAATATAAGAATACCAGGGAGTCAAGACAATGAGAGGAAACTAATACTGAGGGTGGGATACCAACTGGTGGAATTCTTCAGAGAATATGGCAGGAAGAATCAAAGGTTTATATTCATAGGCTTGATCTAGTGATATGCATTTAGAATCTTAGTCTTAGAAAAATCTGAAAATCACACAAAGATTCAGGTATACGGATACTGACTGCCAACAACAGGAGATTGGTTTTAAAAAAATGAATATCATACAGCCATAAGAAAACCATGTTTTTGCTGAAAATTAAAAGGCACAGGACAACGCTTACAACTTATAAAGGGAAAAGAGCACTTGCAAAATGGAACGGATCAGTTCTTAACTTGGATCCATATGCCGAGTTCGAGTTGGTTGATGATATATGACAAATGACATGTATCATTGTGTGTGTACATCTATACACACAGATACACATATTCATACATATATATACACACACAGATACACATATTCATACATATATATACACACACAGATACACATATTCATACATATATATACACAGATACACATATTCATACATATATATACACACAGATACACATATTCATACATATATATACACACAGATACACATATTCATACATATATATACACACAGATACACATATTCATACATATATATACACACAGATACACATATTCATACATATATATACACACACAGATACACATATTCATACATATATACACACACACAGATACACATATTCATACATATATACACACACACAGATACACATATTCATACATATATATACACACAGATACACATATTCATACATATATATACACACAGATACACATATTCATACATATATATACACACAGATACACATATTCATACATATATATACACACACAGATACACATATTCATACATATATACACACAGATACACATATTCATACATATATATACACACACAGATACACATATTCATACATATATATACACACAGATACACATATTCATACATATATATACACACACAGATACACATATTCATACATATATATACACACACAGATACACATATTCATACATATATACACACACACAGATACACATATTCATACATATATACACACACACAGATACACATATTCATACATATATATACACACAGATACACATATTCATACATATATATACACACAGATACACATATTCATACATATATACACACACACAGATACACATATTCATACATATATATATACACACAGATACACATATTCATACATATATATACACACACAGATACACATATTCATACATATCTATACACACACAGATACACATATTCATACATATATACACACACACAGATACACATATTCATACATATATATACACACACAGATACACATATTCATACATATATACACACACACAGATACACATATTCATACATATATATACACACAGATACACATATTCATACATATATACACACACACAGATACACATATTCATACATATATACACACACACAGATACACATATTCATACATATATACACACACACAGATACACATATTCATACATATATATACACACACAGATACACATATTCATACATATATACACACACACAGATACACATATTCATACATATATATACACACAGATACACATATTCATACATATATATACACACAGATACACATATTCATACATATATACACACACAGATACACATATTCATACATATATATACACACATACACATATTCATACATATATATACACACACACGACAGAGAGAGGCAGGAAGGGAGCAAAGAGAAGGGGAGATTGCTTTTGGGAAGAGGTTTCAAAATTTCATCAGATTCTCAAAACATCTCTCAAACAGACTGAAGAACCACAGTACACACTAAGATCCCTATTTTGAAATAAATGAATAAGTACTAACATTTACTGAGCTCTTTAAATGTAAAAAGCAGGCAGGGTGCAGTGGCTCACGCCTGTAATCCCAACACTTTGGGAGGCGGAGGGAGGAGAATCACTTTGAGTCCAGGAGTTGCAGACCAGACTGGGAAACATAGGAAGACCCCCACCTCTTAAAAAAAAAAAAAATTAGCTGAGTGTGGTGGCCTGCACCTGTAGTCCCAGCTACTCGGGAGGTTGAGGTGGGAGGATTGCTTGGGCCTGGGAGGTCGATGCAGCAGTGAGCAATGATCATACCCACCACACTCCAGCCTGAGCAACAGAGCAAGATCTTGTTTCCAAAAAATAAAATAAAATAAAACAAAAACATGTAAAAGGCACTATGCTAAACATACATACTCACTCCAATCCTCAGAACAGTATTAAATAGGTACCAACACAATTTTTCTCATTTTACAAATCCTTTGTCACATTTCTATAAGGGTCACTGTTTTTATTTATTCTAAAATTGTAATCTGCTGAAAGATCATATACTGTTTGTCCCAATTCTACTTCTGGGAATTTATTCTAAGGAAACAATCAAGGAAGTTTGGGACAAATTTAGCTTCAATGTTGTCCATTTATTCTACTGTTGTTCATCATAGAAAAATAAGTGGAAACCACTTAAATAGCTATTAATAAGAAGTCGGTTAAATAAAGAATACGACCATACAAACTAGTATGTACCCATTTAAATAAAAAATATTTAAAGATACTGAAGATAAAAGTTAGACAGGAAAGAGCACATTTTAACTCTGCTACTGACTGTATAATTTTACACAATTTAACTCGTCACTTAAGTCTGTTTCTCTGCTGTAAAACTGAAAAACTACACAACTTCCCGGGTTGTTATGAAGATTCCGTAAGACATCCTTCATAAAAGCACTAATCTTCCTAGACTTCCGATTTAGTTGAGATACTCTCTGAAGAAATAATACTGAGCTGAGATCTGAAGGGTGAGTGAAGGTGCAACAGCCCATTCCACGCAGGGGCATCGACGAGTAAAGATCTGGTTAAAAGACCACGTAGGTGAATACCCCAGATGGTTAGATCTCAAGGCCAAGAATGGTAAGAGTGGAGACAGTGACAACAGACAGACATTTAGAAGGAGAATCTACAGGACTTGATCATTGACTGCACGTCCGGGAGTTGAGAAGAGGGAGATGTCAAGGATGATTTCCAGGTTTTGGGCAGACACAACAGGATGTATGGTGGTGCCATTTATAGAGCTGGGGGTTCCTGGAGGAAGAGCAGGTGTGGGGTGTGGAGAGGTGGAAATGCTCAGTTTGGAACTTGCTGAGTTTGAAATACATATGAGCTATCCACGTGGAGGCACGGTTAGCAGATTTGTGGGTGTGGAGCTCAGAAGAAAGGTCTCACTTAGAGATAAAATTTTAGGAGAACGCATAGGGTGTAAAGCATCCCTGAAGAGCACCAACATTTAGGATAGGGACCTTGCTGAGCAATGAGACAGGAGGGAAACCGGGGGAGGGAGACACCGCGGGAACTAGGGGAATATAATATAGAAGAAAGTTGCGCCTGTCTTTCCCAGGTGAAGCCCTTCTTGCAAGGCTTCAAAAACGCCGAAAAGTGTCTCAAAATGCGTTCACACAGAGGAGCAGCAAGGGGTCCGTGTCCAAAGTGGCCGAGGCGGGGTGCACACTTGTGTGGGGCACTTTCCCTCCGGCCCAGCGCGGAGACAGGCGAACCGCAGGGCCGCCCAGCCCGCGGAGCTCGCAGCTGCCATCTTGGGCCCCGGCAGGACCAGCTCCTTTCAAGTGCTGTGGAACCCTGCTCGTGGCGGCTGCCAAAGTCCAGTGAAAAACACACGGGTCGGTGACTAGCTCACCATGTCCGCGACGTGGACTCACCATGTCGGCGACGTGGCGGTGACACGGACAAGGACGCCTGCCAAAAGCTGCGGGGGACGGCCCTGAAGTGGCGTCACCGCACGGTCGAGGGGCGGGGCCCGGGCGGCCCAACTACAACTCCCGACATGCTCGGCGGCATTACGTCACGGAGCGTACCACACTACAGTCCCTCGCCAACGGCGGGGCGGGGCGGGGCGGGTAGCCGAAGACTTATGTTTGATGAATTCTCTTAGCTAAGTCTTTTCTGTCCTGCGAACACTCACACGTCCTTCTGTGTGTTCTTCGATGCGGATTCGAATCTCCTCGTATTCCCCCTCAGCGTGCTTGGAATGGATTCTCCCGTACCCGGGGCAACACATCACACAATAAACGCCAGCTGTTGTGGAACGTGCAGCGGTGCTTCGCAGCCCACGCGTGTCGCGGGCGCCCGGGAACCCTCGCCGTTCCCGCCGCGCAGTTAACCTGGACTAGCTGGGGCAACCTGATCTCGGCTGTCGGAGTGGGTGTCCTCTGGAGAGGTGACTTGGTCCTCGCGGACGCCAGGTGTTGTCCCTTAGATACCTGCCACCTCCGTTTCCTTCCTGGAAAATAGATCGTCATCACCTCCTCCAGTTTCTGCCCCTTCTGCACCTCTCACGACACTCTATCCGTACCTTTCCTAGGGAACGTGCCATCATTCGGCTATGCTCTATTTTCTTGTCTAATAGATTGTAAGGTCCTGCGGGCAGCGTCTACGCCTTCTTAAATCTGTGTTTCTAGTTTCTGCCAGCAAGCTTGACCCGAAGGGGTTTGCAGAATATCTGTTAAATAAATGAATGAATAATTTTGTAAATGTTGCTCAAGAAGAGTTAAGTAGTGGCGGGGCCGGGCGCGGTAGCTCACGCCTGTAATCCGAGCACTTTGGGAGGCCGAGGCAGGCGCATCACCTGAGCTCGGGAGTTCGAAACCAGCCTGGGCAAAATGGTGAAACCCCCGTCTCTACTAAAAATACAAAAAAAAAAAAAAAAAAAATAGCCGGGCGTGGTGGCGAGTGCCTGTAGTCCCAGCTACTCGGGAGGCTGAGACAGGAGAATGGCTTGAACCCGGGAGACAGAGGCTGCAGTGAGCCAAGATAGCGCCACTGCACTCCTAACCTGGGCGACAGAGCGAGACTCCGCCTCAAAAAAAAAAAAAAAAAAAAAGAAAAAAGTTTAAAAAAATTTTTTTAAATTATACTTTGTGTTCTAGGGTACATGTGCACAACGTGCAGGTTTGTTACATATGTATGTATACATGTGCCATGTGGTGTGCTGCACCCATTAACTCGTCATTTACATTAAAGAAAAAAGTTAAGTAGTGGGGAAGTTCTAGGCAAGAATTTCTTCCTTCCCTCCTCCCTGGCTGGCTTGTGTGCCAGGAGCTGCTCACACGCGGGGATACCGTGAGAGGGGGGAACCTCAGTCTCGCAGCAGCTCCTGCCCTTGTGGAGCCAAGTTTCCTGGGGCAAACAACTGTTCGTGAAAGGATCCCTCATGACAAAAGTAAGATGGTGACCTAGCAGACAACCACGATGAGGGCTTGGAAGAAGTGCATGCCGCTGTGATGGAGTTAAAGAAGGGATTAAGAAACTGAGCAGTCGGAAGAATCAGTGTTCATGGCGAGGGGTGGGCTGGGGAGAGAAAGGGTCGGCACGCTGAAGTAGGTGGCTAAAGAGAAAGGGCATGGACAATGGTCCTGTGGCTAGAGAGAGCCCAGCCTAAGGACGGAAAGAGAACAGTTGCAGCCAAGGGGCCACGGAAGGGGTTTCCATGGTGACAGATGAGGCTGGCTGATACAGGGCCTGAGACATTCAGGCCCCAGTAGCAGCACTGGAATCCTTTGTGGTTGGGCAGGGGAGTGGAGCTTTGAAATATAAGGTAAATGAAAGTACTACATCTTGACTGAAGTTTGGTTTTAAAGCATCCCTGATTAATGGAAGAGGTAGGATGTGGGGAAGGGCGTTGTGTTTGCTTATGTTTTAGTTTAAAATGAATCTTCATTTGCCCCTTTGGTGTTACCTATTAGCAATGATTCATGCTCAGGTGAGCCATTGTTTCAGGCTGGCTTGCAGAGAGGGACTGAAACAGCTTGCTCTGAATTTAAGGTAAAAGGCCCCGCGCGGTGGCTCATGCCTGTAATCCCAGCACTTTCGGAGCCCGAGGCGCGTGAATCACTTGAGGTCAGGAGTTTGAGACCAGCCTGGCCAACATGGTGAAACCTCGTTTCTACTAAAAATACAAAAATCAGCCGGGCGTGATGGCAGGTGCCTGTAGTCTCAGCTACTTGGGAGGCTGTGGCAGGAGAACTGCTTGAACTCAGGAGGCGGAGGTTGCAGTGAGCTGAGATAGCGCCACTGCACTCCAGCCTGGGCGACAGAGCAAGACTCCATCTTAATAAGTAAATAAATAAATACATTTAAGGTAAAAGGTTCTTACCAGCTGGGCGCGGTGGCCCACGCCTGTAATCCCAGCACTTTGGGAAGCCGAGGCAGGTGGATCACCTGAGGTCAGGAGTTCGAGACCAGCCTGGCTAACATGGTGAAACCCCGTCTCTACTAAAAAAATGCAAAAGTTAGCTGGGCGTGGTGGCGGGCGCCTGTAATCCTAGCTACTCGAGAGGCTGAGGCAGAAGAATCGCTTGAACCTGGGAAGCGGAGGTTGCAGTGAGCCGAGAGCGCGCTACTACTGTACTCCAGCCTGGGCTACAAGAGTGAAACTCTGTCTCAAAAAAAAAAAAAAAAAAAAAAAATTCTTACCTGGATCACAAACTGGGAAGACTAACCCAATGTTTGTTTTCTTCACTGTGTATGCCCAGTGCTTGGCTCATAGCTGGTGCTTTAAAAACTTTAGGACGGGATGGATGTAAGTATTCCTAGCTCTTTGGGCCTCCTCTTTTTTTTTTTTTTTAGAACATGTCTACTATTAAAAATTAATTTCTTACCTAATGTAAATGATGAGTTAATGGGTGCAGCACACCAACATGGCACATGTATCCATATGTAACAAACCTGCACATTGTGCACATGTACCCTAGAACTTAAAAGTATAATAAAAAATAAAAATAAAAAAAATTAATTTCTGGCCAGGCGCAGTGGTTCATGCCTGTAATCCCAGCGCTTTGGGAGGCCGAGGTAGGTGGATCACTTGAGGCCAGGAGTTCGAGACTGAAAGGACACAAAGATAGATGTGTACCCGCCCCCCACCCGCTACACCCTTGTTCTGCTCTCTAATCTTTGCACGTACCAGAGGTTTCGTAAGTTCTGTAAGTACATGTTTTTCTTTCTGAGGCCAGGTCACAAGGAATGTTTAAGTAAGATAGCCAGGTCACAAGGTGTGTTTAAGCAAGATAGCCATAAACTGGTCGTGCAACCTGATGCAATATAATTAACTGCCTTTGTGTAAAACTGCTCTTCCGCCTCAAGGGTTGTACTGAAATATCAGAAATGGCGGGAACCAATCATAGTTTGCCAAATCGCTTTGTTCAAACTCCAGCCAATCATACCTCTAATTTGTATAATGATTCTATGCCTACTTTCCTTAGACTATATAACATTGTTCGGAGCTCAGTAGGGGAGCTCTCCTGCCCGTCTCGTTTCACGAGCAAGTGAGAGCTCCAGGTTCGAACCTGTAATAAAGATCCTTGCTGCTTAGCTTTGACTCTGGACTCTGGTGGTCTTCTTCGGGGAATAAACGGTCTGGGCATAACAAGACCAGCCTGGACAACATAGTAAAACCTTGTCTCTACTGAAAATACAAAAACTTAGCCGGGCATGGTGGCGCGTGTCTGTAATCCAGCTACTCAGGAGGCTGAGGCAGGAGAATCACTTGAACCCGGGAGGCAGAGTTTGTAGTGAGCCAAGAACATGCCACTGCACTCCAGCCTGGGACCGTCTTAAAAAAAAAGAGACTCTGTCTTTAAAAAATTAGTTTCTAAATAAAGAGTTGCATGTTTAATATTTCACCTTTGTTTGAAGTGGTCATTTCCAAAGAAAGCTCAGAGTTGAAGTACGCCCGTTAACAAATACTCAAAATTCATTGTGGAATTTTTGTTTTTGTTCTTGTCTTTATCTCGCCTAAATAATTGTTCTCTTCCCCATTCCCTTGATAATTTTGCCAGTGGCACATTTATTATGTTTATTTAAACTTGAAAAAAATCCTCAAGAATTGTAGGGTAATACCTAGATGTGTCGTGCACTCTGAAAAGCTGTTATATTTTCAATATAAGGGACAGTGCAGGATGCTGAAATCATTATATGTGAACTGTAAAAATGTCTGCCTTCTGTAATTAGGATTTTTAAATGTACCCTGAACTTCTCAGGAGGATTTGTTTATAATACACCATACAGTAATAATTTTATCATTTCCAACAGATAAATGGCAGTGTAATAGATGATATCTTACACATTCCTTTGTAATCATGGGCACTTCACATGGAGAGTCAAGGGGGAGGGCTCATACGGGTAATTCTGAATCCCACTGTTCTCCCCCCCTCCACAGACTGGTTCTTTCCCCGTAGAGTATGAGGCTCTTGTTTCATAGTAAACCTTAAAACTCTCAGACTGAAAGTAATTAGAACTGGAGATTAGTAACCACTGTTTTCTAAACATTTCCCTTTTATTTTTATTTCCAATGTAAAGTAGGATTTTTCAATAAAAGAAGTGACCCTAGGGAAATTTTGAAGTTAGCAGTATAGAAAGCACCACCATGCCTACCATGCCTGCGGAAGGAGGGAAAACGGACATGGAAAGGATTGGCCTCTTTAGTGAGATGGAGTATATTACTGTGGGTGATAAATATGTGTCACAGTTTAATCGTAAGTATATTTGCTTTCCTCTATGGGTGAATAGTGGGTATTTTCTAGATAAAATTTAGAATTTAATATTTACATTGAATGATTTTTTAGTGGTTTATATTTTAAAGCATTTAGTTTCTAAAGTTTGTTAACTTGTACAATTTCAATGGAGTTAAGCGATTTCATTTATTTATTTATTTAGAAACGGGATATCTGTTCCCCAGGCTGGAGTGCAGTGGCCTGATTATAGCTCACTGCATCCTCAAACTCCTGGGCTCAAGGGATCCTGCCATCTCAGCCTCCTGAGTCGCTGGGACTACAGGCATACA